CTCAATTTGCACTATTTCTGGCAGTCTGCAACCCCCCTTAGTTTGAAGCTGGAGGATCAAAGGCTGAGAATCATCACTGGTAAAGAAGAGGGATAGCAGACAGTACAGTTAGGTTTGCTCAGAGTAGTTGAGTCAAGGTAGTGAGTGTAATCTGTGAAGTATGCTTGCAATAGGATATTTGCTGTTGTTGTGTGCCTTCAAGTCATTTCTGACTTAAACAGCAACCCTAAAGTGACCCTATTACAGGGTTTTCTTGGCAGGCTTCTTTAGAAGGGGGTTGCCATTGCCATCCTCTGAGTCTCAGAGAGTGACTTGTCCTTAGCATACCCTAAATAGCATTATTCTAAACTGTAACAAATAATAATAATAATAATAATAATAATAATAATAATAATAATAATAATAATAATAATAATAATAATAATTTATTATTATTATTATTATTATTATTATTATTATTATTATTATTATTATTATTATTATTATTTATATCTCGCCCCTCTGAGATCAATCGGGGAGGCTAACAAAGTTAAAAATACAATACATCCCAACCCTATCCCCACCCCATCCTTTAAAAAATTATTAAATCAGATAGAATTAAAACCAACAAGATAAAAACTGCAGCAATTAGTTGCTACAATAGTAATAACAATAAAAGGAAGAAGACGGTGAGATTATACCATGTTAGGGAAACTCTAGGAGGACTCCCCCAAAAGAGTTCCTGAGGCCGGGATTATCTATCCTGGAAAGGAAAGCTACACTCTTATTTGTCAGGGGCATCACTGGGGGATGCATGCAGTTCATACCACACCAAATGACACCCTAAGAGGGGGTGACACACCACTGCTCCCCCAAACAGAGAAGACTGCCTTTGGGCAGAGAGGGGCTCTGGCATTCGCCTGTGTCCATTAAAATGTTGAAGGGATGGGGTGAGTGGGGTGAGGCTCAGTGGGAGGAGGAAGGAGAAACCCCAGGTTTTTTTTTATTATTATTAACATGACAAATTAAAAAAAAATTTTTTTTGTAATTTTTAATTTTTTTTCTTTAAAAACATCACATTTTACCAAATGCTCACTGTAAGCACATGAAAATACATTTAGGCTGTGTGTATGATATTGTAATTTACATTCAGTGATATATGGGAATTGGGATTTATGAGTAACATTAGTACAAAAACCATGACTAAGGGTTCTGTATGGTGGGGTATGGGAGGAGGTCAATGCGGGTGTGTGACCCTATGGAGGTACCCCACTGGGTGACGCCAACCCTAGGGAGGGAAGGAGGGACTACTTGGCCTGCTCTCTGTGGGGCTGGCTTTCCCACGCGTGGGGTTTCTTACACACCAAAGGGAAATGTAGGGCATGTGCCTAGGGCTGGTGTCACCTCCCACGTTGACCTGCTCCTATACCACACCATACACTTTTTTGTACTCATGTTCCTCATAAATCGTAATTCCCATATATCTCCCTGAATGTCATGGTAATAGTGGTGACAGAAACAAGTAGCACAATTAAAATGATACTTTTAAATTGCAATATCATATACACAGCCTAAATGAATTTACATATACATAGTTTTGTGTACTTAGTGAAAATTTCATAAAATGTGATGGTTTTTAAAGAAAATTTTAAAAAATATATATTTTTTAAAAAAATAAAAAAAATAAATTTTACATTTTAATTTTTAACCCCCCTGGGGTTTCTCCTTTCTCCTCCCGCTGTGCCTCCCCTAACTCTTCCCCATCTCTTCAGTATTTTAATGGGAGACAGGCAAACGCCACAGGCCTTTTCTGCCCAAAGGCAGATGTTTGAGGAGCAGTGGTGTGTCACCCCTTCTTAGGGTGTCACCTGGTGTGGTCCACAACCCCTGCAACCTGCTAGTGATGCCACTGCTCTACACACAGAAAGTCTCTAAAAAGAATGACACACACACACACACACACAAAACTAACCAGGAAAATCTGGTACTTCTGAATACTTATCTAACAATACTGCAAAAATATATTAAACCATAAATTGCATGTGGTTACTACAATAATGCATTTTTAAACATCCAGTGGAATAGTGAAACTATATCAACCATCTAGGAAACGATCATACAGTAAAAATATCGAAAAGTAACCATAATGTAAGGTATCCCATCTCTAAAACTTAACAAATCATGAAGAGAACAATTATATAGTTTCATTATTCTACTGGATGTTTAAAACTGCATTATGGTAGTAAGCACCTGCAGTTTATGGTTTAATAAGTTTTTGCATTATTGTTAAATATGTTTCTTATATACACACTGAGATAGACGCACGAGGTCCATGCACAACTGTGGCCCCCATCCAGACCACACCACAAGAAGCCTCCTCTGCAAGAGAGAGAGAACCACGTGGCTCATTTCTGGAGATCCCAGCAACTCTTCACTAACTTTCACGGCTGTGCTGTTGTTGTTTTCAATAATGCTGCACTATATAGAATTCAAAGATATAGTTGTGTTAGTCTGGAAAACATGCATCTCAGGAAGTACGCTTAGGTCTAAGAAAGCTCATGCAACAAACTTCTTTCTTTCAGTGAATCTCAAAGATACTGCAAGATCCATATATTACATAAATTTATAAGTTTGTTGCTGTGTGCCTCCAAGTCGTTATTGACGAAGACAAGCCTGCCATAGGGCTTTTTGGCAAGTTTCTTCAGAAGGAGTTTGCCATTGCCACCCTCCAAGGCTGAGAAAGTGTGACTTGCCCAAGATCACCCAGTGGGTTACCATGACCGAGTTGGGACTCGAACCCTAATTTTTCAGAGTCGTAGTCCAACGCTCAAGCCACTATGCCACTTATTAAAGTCATATGTGAACATTTTGGATAACTACAGGATGCCATACTCCATCTCTGACTATAAATGTGTCTCTACGCAAAGGGGTCTTCTAGCACCTTTTGAGATTGAGAGAAAGAAAGATGTTGATAGCATAAGCTTCCATAAAGTTCAGTCTGCTTCTTTAGATGCAGATGTGTGTGTGGGGGGGAGGCTGTTGTCTTATGGGGAATCCCATGAATTTCCTAGGGTT